TTGTGTTCTGATGAAGGTCTTACGGGTTTGGAACGACATGAGGGCGAGTAATTAATGACAGAACTTTCATCTTTCATTGAACGATCCCTTTAACCTACTTCAGTTTGTAGGAGCGTGAAGCTTGTTTTCTAGACTGATCTGAGAACAACACCTCCCTGTGTTTTTGTCTGGCAGGTTCCACCTGTGATAACGTTGCAGGATATATTCGAGTTATTTAACGGTTGTGCAAATGTAATTCGCTTGGGGTGTTGATGCACAAACTAATAAAGATTCTTAGAACACTAATATGTTGCATAGGTATAAACATACAATATACACTCTCAATTAGATCATCCGAATACGAATTAATAGAGACCAAACACGGTATATGTAAGGTTACATGAATGATTGGTTCTATCATAAGCATGCATAAAATAGTCTACAATACAACAGATAATATACAAGACACCAATAATATACACAATGACCTGAAGGATATGTGTGTTCATTCAAAGAAAGGTTTTCCTATGAATTCATTAGTAGAAAAGTCCATTTCTACTGTGCATTGTGTCTCTTCCTTAAGAAAAAGGCAGTGATTTTCCCTACTTACATTCCATTAGGTCGTAAATGTATCTGGTGTCAGGGTTGCCATGGTAACCAGGGGGGGCCTGGTGTCGTTGCAGACATCCTGGCATCCAGTTTATTGGGTGAGGGGACTGTGACGATTTGTTAATCTAATGAATAACTGATTTGTTAAATCAAATGAAAAATTGTGTGTTTGATTGGTCCAGACGCTACACTACTCAGATGAGTACATATCCATGGTGTGAAGGTGTACATTTATAAAATTCTTCTTTGCATTTTATGAATTCAGGTGATATTTGTTCTGAAACAATGTCTCATTTTCATTTTGACATAGAATAAAAATATAAAAATAATACCAGTTTGTCAAAAAAATTGGCATTGCCACATTCTAAAACTTTTAAAGGGATAGTTCACCTAAAAATTCGGTCATTAATTACTTACCCTCATGTCGTTCCAAACCTGTAAGACCTTCGTTCATCTTCGGAACACAAATTAAGATATTTTTGATGCAATCCGAGAGCTTTCTGACCCTGCATAGGCAGCAACGCAACTGAAACGTTTTATGGCCCAGTGACCTGAAATTTGTGTCCTAAAAACTAGTGAAACTATTTTAAACCAATTTTGCCTAATTATTATGCATGTAGTTCATATCAGTGGAGGGACTACATGAAACTCATGCTCATTTAAAGACCAAAAGCACCACCATGTTCTAGAACAGACTAGCATTCGAGTAGTTCAGTCTAGAGACAAGTGCTTGGACAAGAAGTTTTGCAGCATGTTTATATAGGAACGTGAAGTTCATCTGGTTTCTGGCTGATGTGGATAGCATTATCTGTAAAAACATTTTATGGCCCAGAAAGGTAGTAAGAACATCGTTAAAATAGTCAATAATAAAATCAGTGGTTCAACCATAATGTTATGAAGCTACGAGAATACTTTTTGTGTGCAAAGAAAACAAAAATAACGACTTTATTCAACAATTTCTTCTCTTCCGTGTCAGTCTCCTCACTGCCTTTCTGTGCCTTGAACATTTCAGTTCTGTTGCGGTCTCTGCAGGGTCAGAGAGCTCTGGGATTTCATCAGAAATATCTTCATTTGTGTTCTGAAGATGAATGAAGGTCTTACGGGTTTGGAACGACATGAGGGCGAGTAATTAATGACAGAACTTTCATTTTTGGGTGAACGATCCCTTTAACCTACTTCAGTTTGTAGGAGCGTGAAGCTTGTTTTCTAGACTGATCTGAGAACAACACCTCCCTGTGTTTTTGTCTGGCAGGTTCCACCTGTGATAACGTTGCAGGATATATTCGAGTTATTTAACGGGTGTTTCCTACCGTTCTGGAGGTAGGTGGCGCTGACGGGCTGGTGAGAGACATGATCTCCTGAATGGCGAGGCGTAGTTTGAGGCGATGAAGAGGGTTGCTGATGCCAATCTCGCGCTGGATCTCGGTGTCAGACAGAGCAGACATGATGGCTCCGCTCTTCACATTAGCACGGCACGCCGCTACATACCACGCAGGCATCCCGACCCACAGCTGAGAGAACACAACAACAACAACACAGGCCAATGAGAACCTCGAGCCTTACAGTATCAGGCAAACTGCCACGCTTGTGCTTCCACTTACTCGTGATCAAACCCTCCCTGTGCCACACACAAATTAAACTGCAACTGCCTTCTCGTTAGGAATTACCAGAAGTCACATACATGAGGAAATACCACAGTCAAGCTGATTCACAGCTGTAATGGAAACACTGATCTGCTACTGCGACTGGATGATGCAGCACAGATGTGAAGCTCAGCTGTACAGCTGTACTGTAGATGTGTCTGTACCTCAAGCCACACCACCACCGTGGGACCGTCCCAATGAGCGAATGGCAGACCCTGCCGACAGGCTTCCTCCAGCAACTCATGTCTGAAAACACAAACAAGACATCATGAGCACGCATGCATGTACAAAGAGCACGCTTTATGGTGCAAACATGTCAGAATGATAATATGCACATGAGAGCAGAACCCAGATGGAGTCACACAGACAGAGAATGAGAGATGCGTGCAGAGGGGAAACAGCAGCTGGGTTAGCAAGAGAAAGTGTCCAGACCTCTTCACTTCCACCATCAAATCAGTGCAATACCTCGCCTGAACAACCTGGGATTCAGTGTCTTCATCACATGCAAAACGATGCATCTTTACTGATAAAAGGGGGAGCAAGTTAGATTTATTTTCCTATTTTTGAGAGAACTATCACTTTCTGTCATGATAGAGGGTGAATCTTGAACCTATGCACACGCTGGGACAAATATTCCTCACAGACACACTTTCTTCATTCTTCTCTAAACAAGATGTTAGGAAACATGTTTTCATCATGCCAAAACGCAGAGAAAGCAGCAGGACACCTTTCGAAGGCGAAGTTTCAAATGCACCCAAAACACCAAATCACATTCTCATGTTCGTTCTTTTTGCATAATATCAGGTTATGCAGCTACTGAAGCATTAAGAGGAAAGGAGAATGCAGATAAACATGCATCACGTCATGCTGAAGAATGAAGAGAAGCATTTGGTCCTGAACGAGGCTCTGAGACCCATAATGCACTTCAGCAGAGGCCGGTCCCGGCAGCTAGTGTTCTTCCTCGAGCAGATCATCAACCATGTTCTGTCTCCTTTTCACTGGATACAACTAAACCTGGATCATTTCACATGCATTCTGCATTTTTCCATGTGAAAGATGCATCAGTTTCTGGTCACCTTTGCCATTTCTGACCAGTTGAAATGTTAGTGCATCCCTGCTTTTAACCACAAACTCTCACAACTGCTTCTAGAAGATACGCTCATCTTTCTAACACATGACAGTTTCACGTTCCCTTCTGTGCTCACAGCTAACGCTCTTCACCGACTCTGCAGCGCTGATCAATAAATAAATCCATGCATCAATCTAGGAATTAACCAACAGTTCTGACACCACTGGTTATCATCTGCTCATCTCAAGCGTTAGACGAGCAGATGCAGCGGGTGAAATCGAGTCTGTAAAGGTCAGATGTTAGTAGAGCTGGAGTGCATCACAGCAAGCATGAGACGTGCAGGTGCTTTCATCACGCTTTACCGCTCCATCACCGAGACGGTCTGTGGTCACTTACCCTGACTTTGGGCTATGAGTGAGGCGTGGGAAGAGTGTGTGAGGAGAGAGGAGGGAACACAAGCAGAATGAGCCACTGAGAGACATGAATCATGACACATCATCTTCTGCTGGGAGGCTGACCGCACGTTTAACAACAAACAACAAAACTAAAACAGGCGGGAAAGCATCATCATTACTCATGACAGTCAGGTGAAGACAAACTGAACTCGAGATCAACTAACCGGACTCATTTCTACTTCCCGTTTCAAACGCTACTGATGTGTCACTCACTTCTTCTGCAGCTTTCGGTTCTTCTCTGCAGGGCCGCCCATCTTCCCGAGGGTCATGGCGTCCTGTGCACTTCCTCCATCAGGCGAACCTGCCAGCGCTGATCCACACAAACACACCATCACATCAGCTTGTTCTCTCGAGTGTTTGGCTTGTAGTGGAGGAACAGTAGTATCATATATACTGTCTGAATCTCTTAACACTAGCTGTAAACTATTAAACTACTATATATAATGCTGAATATGATGTATGATAATAGCAGTGGGAAACTGTAACCCCAAATATCTGTTGTATCGGTGACCGAGCGCATGCATCTCACACAAAGTATTTTCAGCTAAGCAGAATCATGAATATTTCTATATTCAATATTCTATATCTCTGCGCATTAGTCCGAACCCAAGATCATTCAAGTTCAACCTTGATGTTATAATACCAATTATGTCATTTTATGAATAGTGCTTGGTAACACTTTACAATAAGGCTCCATTTGTTAACTATATTAGTTAACATAACTAAGATTGAAAATCCTTCTAAAGCGCTTATCAATCTTAATGTTATAACTTCAACATTTACTAACACATCGTAAAAAACAAAAGTTGTATCTGTTAATGTTTACTGGACCTTAGCTAACACGAACTAACAATAAACAGTTGTATTTTTAATAACTTAATGTTAACAAAGATGAAAAAAAAAAAAATAAATAAAGTAACAAATGTTTTCCTCATTGTTAGTTAAAGAGATGAAATAAATTCTGTCATTATTTACTCACCCTCAGGTTATTCCAAACCTGTATGAGTTTGTTTTTTCTGTTGAACACAAAAGAAGATATTTTGAATAATGTTGGTACCCAAACAGCTGATGCGCCCCACTGACTTTCACAGTATGGAGAAAAAATACAATGGAAGTCAACGGAGACCATCAACTTTTTTGTTCAACAGAAGAAATAAACTTTTACAGGGTTGAGTAAATGATGACAGGATTTTAATTTTTGGGTGTACTATCCCTTTAATGCATTAACCAACATTAACTAGTGGGACCTTATTAAAGTGTTTTGCTTCTTTATGCTGTTTATTAAATCCCATTTTAACCCTTCTTTATTTTGGCTTTGTTCACAGTATTCTGAGAGTATTATATCGTGAGTTCAGTATTGTGTATCGACTTGTATCGTTCATTCTCATTACTGCAATATTTGACATTTAAATGAGGCAGTTAAACTCATCGTCTCATTGCAGTGATGAGAACATGGGTCTGAATGTAACGATGCAAGAACATAATAGTGTGAAAATAGGCTTTGGAGCATTGAACCCTGATGAGGTGTGGATGATGGCACACCTGGCCCAGGAGACTCTTTCCACAGCGGACTGGCTCGAGCCTTCTCTTTCTTTGCGAACAGTCGGCCGATGGAGGACTTGATGCTCTTCTTCTTGGCTCCTTTGTTGAGTGAGTCCTGACTGCTGTTGCTGCTGCTGGGATTGCTGCCCGCTCCGTCCTGCAGCCCGGCGCTGGACACACACACAGAGACAGAGACAGACAGAGACACAGACACACACAGACAGAGACACAGACACACACAGACAGAGACAGACAGACACACACA